AAATTAAAAACTCATTTAAAACTGTAATAACTCTGCATATTAGAAGTGACTTTTTACCAGGCATTAATTTGCACTTGCTTTTTTGTGTGTGTTTGTATGTGTGTTGTGTAGAATGGTGGTGTGGTATGTGAGCAGGAATCTTGTCCAAGCATTACCTGTAGCAATCCAGTGACGCGTCCTGGGGAATGCTGCCCCGTCTGTGACTGCTGTCTCTATGGGGATGCTGTTTATTCTAACGGCGAAAGCTTCAGGCCCCCATCAAACCAATGCCAGAGCTGCACCTGTGTCGCGGGCACTGTTGAATGTGTGTCCGACGGCTGCCAAGAAGCACCCTGCGCTCAACACGTTTCCATATCAGAGCCGTGCTCAGGTACATCCTGAAATTATAAACACACAGCCAACAATTCATTATAAAGAAAGCTAGGATCCTGTATGTATTCACTTTTTAAATATAACAAGGGCTTCACAGAAAATTAACCTGCATTAGTATGTAATCTTTACTGTTTTCACACTGTTAAACAGAAATGTCACAGAAGTACAAAGAGTATAAATCCCATTTTGAATCCAAGCACCTGATCACAAAAATTACACATCTCAACAACTTGGAACATGTTATTTTCACCTTTTATGGACTAATTTGGAAATCTGCTTCCTTTGGACAAAGACTATTAAGACACTCACTAACTTGAGACGCTGAATCTCTGACTTTTATCATTTTGTTCCTGGTTACAACCCCTGTAACAAGAAGTCAGTTGTCTACCCAGACCCCTTGACCCTATCACCACTTTATTTGTCATAATAAGTCTTTGTTTAGTCCTTGATCTTGTCACCCAGTTGTTGTCTTCCAGACCCTCCACCTTATATGTTTTGTCACTGTTTAACACTTGCATGTAAACCATACCCAGCCAATACTCTTGTTCACCAGTATAAATGTTGTGTTTTGTCAGTGGGTCAGGGTTGGATTACCTTCCCAGACCCACTCTCTGAATTGGTACCAGAATACTCAATAAACATACCACCACAGCAAACTTTCCACAGTTTGGTCCCGTGATCCATTTGGTAATACGTTTAGTTGGAGACTGTTACTAAGTGGTCAGTGATCCTTTTGAAAACACAGTTAATGTTCCTGTGTGCTGTCCAAGGTCTGTGGAACTGCATGGCCTTAGGATTTGACTAAATTGCTTAAGGTTTTGACATTTTAGTTACCAGAGGACTGAAGAACAGAATTTTTTTTTTTTAAATGCATCTGAGAGTTTTAAAAATTTGAAAAGAAAAAAGAAACTAAGAAAAATGAAATGATATATGGGTTCATAGTGGGAGTAGGAGTACATCAGGTTGTGCTTTGAGCCAATTCTCGTTTGCAATGCTGATGGACAGTCTGACAGATGAAGACAGACTGGAGTCTCTGTGGACTTTATATTTCTAGACAATATTGTGATCTATAGTGAGAGTGGTTTAGAGTCAGTGGCACTATTAAAAAAACGAAAAAAAGACAAGAGACGGAGTTCAAGGTGGCAGTTAAGGAGTTAAGATGCTAAGATTCTGATTAGGAGTGACCAGAATTGACAGGATATGAGATGAATATATTAGAGGCTCAGCTGAGGTTGAACACTTTGGAAAGGTTAGAGAGGCAAGGCTGAGATGATTTGGACATGTGCAGAGGAGGGATGGTGTGTATGTTTGGCAAAGGATGTTTAGGATGGAGCTGCCAGGCCGCCAGGAAAACAGGAAGGCCACAGAGAAGATTCATGTAGTGAACGAGGACATGCCAAGAGTTGGCGTGGCAGAAAAAGATGCTGGGGATAGGGTGAAATAGAGGCTGATAAACCGCTGTGGTGACCCATAATGACAGCAGGTGAACGAAGAAGAAGTAGTTAGAGATTATTGGGAAAACATCATAACAATTTGTGTTTTTCTTTGTTGTGACGTCATTGCATGTTTTCTTTTGTTTGTCAGAACTTGTCTGTTTCTTTTGTGAAATGTCGTTTGATGTTTTCTTTTCCCCCCTTCAAAGTTCTACAAGAAAAACCAAAGAACATATTAATGTGATTCTGCTGGGATGAAAGGAGCCTTTAGGAGAAGTTAGTGGGGCCAAAGCCCCAGCGTTAAGAACGCTGAGAATGAGTGTGGGGTTGAAAGCGAAAAAAATTCATTAAAAAAATGTGGGGCCCAAACATCAATCAGTGAGATTAACAGGAGGTCTCTTCAGCACATGGGCTCTACTTACTCATCACTATTGGTACCACAATATAAGGCAATGCAGACAGTGAAAAATGTGGTGCAAGACTCAAAGCCTACATGTGGCTGAAGAACAAGCTGAAAATATAGATGCCTAACAGAGGAATTTCTAGGTGTACTGTATGACCTTCTACTGGTCAATGAAGAAGGAGGTCATGACCATCATCCAGCACATATCACCACCTTGCACCATTCCCTGGCAGCTGCAGTGTGTGTGTTTTCGTCCCAACGATGGCTTTGCCTGCAGTATAATTTCACAAACCCGGATGATTTCAATTACAGCCAACATCAGGTGAAGGCTCAGCTGATACCCTTCTGTGCATTCTATTGGCCATATCTCATATGGGATGTGCTACTTAAGCTGCTTCAGCCTGCAACAGCTACTGTTACCCCACAAGCTCCTTTACACACCCACATTTTCCATTTTGTGCTTTTAATGCTACTTCCGACTTAATTCAATGCTTATTGTCACCGATAACCTGCTCTGTTCTGTCAGGACTCCTGATCGTACTCTCCCTGCCTTTACCCTTTTCATGTGGAATGATGGGGAGGCTCAAAAACCTTGTGTCCAATTTTAAATTACTGTAGTTGAGAGAGAAGTAATATAAGTAATTCTGACAGAACTAATAATATATCCTACACTACAACTTTAAACAGTTTTTTCTTCCACACTCAATCTTCTACCTTTTTGTCAGTTTTTAACATTTATGTTTAAAGCATAGCCCACTCACAGTCGCTTGTTCATCAGTCTTAATGCCATATTCTGTCGGCTTACCTTCCCAGGCCTGCACTCTGGGTTGGTAATCCCACCCTGTACTGTAATATACACAACATTAGAACAAACTCTGGGGGGAAATGACTCTGACTGACTTCTCCAACATTTTCTTTCTCTGCTACTCTTGGTCATGTGACTCAGTATGTATGCTGAATGGACAGGAGTTCAGTGATGGGCAGACGTGGACCCTGAGTTCAAACCACTGCTCCACCTGCATCTGTAAGGTCTGACTTTATAAATCTTGTTTGCAGATATAGATTTTATTCTTCTCTATATTTCCCACCTTTCTTGTATTGAAGTGCTGATCTGTGATATTCTCACAGGCAGGTGAGGTGCATTGTGCAGTTCCTGAGTGTCCTAAGCTTACTTGTGTGCATCAGGTGACTGATCCAGGAGCCTGCTGTCCTCATTGTAGAGGTAAATAAACTAATGGAAGCTCTGATCACAGGAGGAATAGTTTGTCAGTGACTCACTTTTCCTTCTCAGGTTGTGTTTATGCGGGAGAGGAGCATACAGAGGGCAGCAGCTGGTTTGCAGACTCAACTCCATGTATGACATGTATGTGCATGGATGGTGTGACCACCTGCTCTGAAGTACACTGTCTGTCTCCATGTGTTAACTTCATCAGTGTGCCTGGGGAGTGCTGCCCAATGTGTGCTGGTAAGCATATTCGCCTTACATTTTCTTAGGTTCTGTTTCTCTGCTGTCTCTCCCAGTAGTGAAAGCCATACATTTAATATAAAATATATGTGTTCATATTCTTTTATTGTCACAATCTGTCATTATTTTTTGAGCAGACTGTGTATTTGAGGGCAAAGTATATGGACCAGGGGACAGTTTCCATCCAGCCAATGACCCCTGTCAGATCTGCACATGTGAGGTATGAAACAAATAAAAATCATCTCTGTATTGGATCATGAAATTTTGGTTTAGGTTGTTTTTTTCTTATAACTTATTGGCTATACTAAATCTGTGTTTAAAACAGGGAATTCACAGTCTTACAGTTTCATTACTCAGATTGATAGTGAGATTCTAGATATGCCATTACTGTACTGACACAAATGACAAGATATTATCTCATGTGTGTTTTAAAAATGGTATGAAAATATCATGTGACAACCTTAGAATAAACGTTTTTACAGTTCTCAGATCTGATCCTTGTGTTGTGGAATGCTTTTTCAATACTGTTTCCGTTTTCCTGTCTTTGTGTGTCTCTGTGCTTAGTTATCTTCTAGGTTTCCTGTTTCACTTTGTCAGTTAGCATCTCTTTGGTGTGTTGTCTTGGGTTTGCTTCCTGTTTGCTAATTACCTTGATTGTGTTTTGCTGTTTCTCATTCCCTTCCTGTCCCCACTTAGCCAGTTATCTTTATGTATAAATCCTATCTTCTCTGTTGTGCCGTCTGTTATACTTCCAGTTGTGTTTCCTGTTTTTTTCTGCTAAGTGCCTTTAGTTTTTGTTACTTTGCTTTATGGAATTTGTTCAGTCTGCCTCCCACACCCTATTTGTGTCACACAATGTGTGATCAGTCCAGGGTTTAGTATTTAAAGTCAAAGTGATGAATGATGTTTTAAAAGTCAGTTAAGCTTCAGTTCTACTTACTGTAGCAAAATAGCTTGAAGCAGTAAAAACAGGAAGACAGAAATAACGTAAAAATAATGCAAGGATTTCTCTTTGGAAGATATTTGATTTCAGTGAGATTTCATCATTAAATAAATATAGATAGATGGATAAATGGAGTGATAGAAGCTTTAATAGTAAAATCTGAAGCAGTCTCTTGACATTTTGTATGTTTCTCAGGTGATGCCGGATGGAGAACAGCACCTGAAGTGTTACCGAAAGCAGTGTCCCAGTCTGGTTGACTGTCTTAAGAGCAACATCTTGTTCTCTGGACCGGACTCCTGCTGTCCTGTCTGTGCACGTTAGTAGCAAACAAATGAATAAATAAACTATATGTGTATTATCTCTGCAGTATTGCTGAGCTCTCTAACATCTGTGTCTATGTTTAGAGCCTCTCAGTAACTGTACCACTGCACTGATTGGTAATGAGGTGTTGGCAACAGATGACCCGTGTTTTACCTGCCAGTGTAAGGTAAAACAACAACACTTTGGTGTGATACCTCACAGATATGGAATAAAATATTTACAGTTAGGATATTTCAGCAACTACAGAGTTTCATTATGGGGTGATGCTGTCTTTGGGTGATCTCCCGTACAGGACCTGACATGGACTTGCTTACACAAAGTCTGCCCACTACTCACCTGTCCTCTAAATGAGCAGTTCACCCCTCCAGACTCATGCTGCCCAATGTGCAAAGGTATCATGTATAATGTGATAGAACAGCAGCAGTCTTAGCATTTAGATTCTTGGTATTAATACATCTCTGTATACGTTGGCTCTCCTGTGTTCCTCACAGATTGTGTAATTGAGGATCAGAACAGGCGTGTTGTGAACGGCACCAGCTGGAAAGACAGCAAAGATGACTGTGTCACATGCACCTGTTTTGTAAGTCAACAGAAATCTAGACACCCATCATAAAGAACTTAAAGTAATGACATAGCATTGAAATGTGGCATATATATATATATATATATATATACATACATACATGTTAAAAAAATAATGTGGTACAGAAATACAGGTGGAAGGGTTTAGTTTTTGAGGAATGACTTAAAAGACACAAAAAGAAGGGTCCAGCGCACTCCAGCTGCAAATACTGAGGGGTTGATTTTGATTGTTAAGCTAAGGAAAACACTTAAATTTCACCTAACTGAAGACATAATATTAATATGATTCTCCATTCACACATACATACATCTGATCCAACTTATCCCCTATCCAATTCAGGGTCTTGGGAGTGTTGGAGCCTATCCCAGTTGACATAGGGCGAGAGGCAGGGTATTCTGGAAAGATCTCCAATCACAATGGTTAAAATCAACACTTAACCTAAACCCATGCATGTCTTTGGACTGTGGGAGAAAACTAGAGAATACAGAGAGAACCCACGCAGAGAACATGCTAACTCCACACAGAAAGGCCACCAGCACGTTGCCACTAATGTTATATTTAAAAAATAGCATTTCTAAAATAGACCTTTTTTTATTTACTGAGATTATTTTCTTCAGAAGTCTGTTTGTGGTTGCATCCTCAGTTGGGCTACATTGAGTGCAGCATTGAAGAGTGTTTACCTGCCATTTGTCTGGAAGGACAAAAGCAAGTGAAACTTCCTGGGAGATGTTGCTATGAATGTCAAGGTATCACAAAATAAAAATAGCTGCTGGCTTTTCACCTCTGGGTATTTGACACTGGAATGATGTGACTGATGGATGAGGATAATTCTTTACAAAGATTAAACTTATGCATATGTGTTGTAGACTCGGAGGTGTCGTGTTTGTACCAGGGGACAGTGTTTCACTCCAATGAACACTGGGAGGTGGATGAATGCACCAGCTGTACATGTTTGTCTGGAGACGTACACTGTCGCAGTGAACGCTGCC